TAGTCAATTTCTTCTGTGTCTCATTTTCTGGGAATATTTTCCAAAATCCGTTTAACTTAAATCTGCCAAACACCTTAATTGAAACCCCTATCCTTAGCTTTGAAAAAAGCGAAAGGAGGTAAGGGTCTGTTAGGGGGTTATATAAAATCCTTTCTGCTTTAGCCCCAAAAATAAACGACGGAAAAAACTATAATACATTAACTGTCAATGTGAGAAAAATTAAATAAGTTAACTTAAAAGATCGCCACTTTTCACTTAAAGTCAAGCTGCTTCTAGCTGCTATAGGATCTTGAGGACTGCTCCAGGTGATTTGTTTGCATAACTGAGTAGAAGAGATCTATTTTCAGATTCATATTTTCTCGCCATAATCAGTGGGAATTGAATAAAAAGTAATCTATAAGGCAATCTGTAAAGCTATTTAGTGGGCTAAATACAGTTTAGGATCATAACTTTACACCACTGGCAAATAGTTTTCAATTCAAAAATGTAATTCTTGAAGTTTTATAGTACCAAAAATAATCGCATACGCCAAAGCTGGGCAACCTTCAAAAACTTCTTTACTGAATGATACGCATATTCTGTCTGTAGACTAAAAGTTGGTCTGCCCAGTGAGAAGTGACTTTTCAGCAAATAAGCTGCATTAATGGTTGCAGCAACAAGTTCAGTTTACTTGTCTATCTATGCTGCTCCAAGCTAAGCAGATCGTTTAGAACTGAATAGTACGCAGTCACTAGCCAGTTTAGAGCTGTCAATAGTGTACAGTGTGTGAAAAATGAAGATCATTTTTCTCTTTGATTAAAAGGTTTCTTTATAAAAAAATTTAATAAAACCAATTTCTAAGTACCCAAGTACTTCGGCTCAAAATTTTTACGATAAAGATACTGCTGTACTTTTCCAATAAAAGTGTCATAGAATTACTGACCAAGCTTGGTCTCCACAAAATATTGAAATTATAATTTTTCACTTTTACCAGCAAAGGCAGTCAAGCGCTGAAGAGTCTGCTCAAACAGCAGTCATTCCAAAGTATTCTCTCTTAGTCCCCTAGCTGAGTTTCTAATCACTTAAATTGTACTTAGTGAATCTGATCAAATGCTGCACATAGCAGCAAAAACGCTCCGCTTCCCAGATGTCAGCTTTACAAGTTCTTAAGTGAACAACGGGCGAGGTTTCAATAACATCATATCAGGTTAACTCCCGTTAACGAATTGTCACTTTCAAGTTGCAGCCTAAAAAATTATAAAACTTTATACTCTTGTTACCCTTCCGCTCCCTTACCCCTTCTATTCCGTCTTCATTTGAAAAAAAAAATTAATGTAAACAAACGTTCGGTGTAGAACTAAAGAAATATGTATTTAAATACACTTTTCAAAGGAAGAGTAATCAATAAAAAAGTGCAAAAAAAGACAAAATATTTTTTTTTTTTTGCAACCATTATTCTCTTTTCTCCACCGAAAAAATCGAGGAGCTGTAAACCTACCTCACACCTTGATCCAGCTGTAACTGTCATTCAACAGGTATGCAGTGAATCAGTGACGTAATTGATAATTACCGAAAAAAAGCCTCTTATTCTCCGTTCAATCATTCCATATTCTAAGAGACTGTAAAAATTACAGCTGCACTGCGGAGAAAAAAATGCTTTTTTTGGATAAAAACTGTTGACTTTCTTTAACTTTATCAGCAAGGAAAAATGCTTCCAAAATTCTCCTCAATCTCATTTACTGTAAAATTTATCCCCTAAAACTCTCTCCTGTTGATTTAATAGCATTTCATACTTCTAATCCCCAATTTCAATTCAGACAGCTTACCGTACTTTACCTTATAAAGACCACTGCTTTAAAAAGTCGAAACTCGGGCATATATTCTTCCCATTTAAGTGGTTGAAATGAAACTATACTTTAAGAGCTAATTAGATGCTAATTGCAGTTTTAAAAATGTGTGAAATCCGAAAGTAATCTTGCCAAATTCAAAGGTTGAATAAGCCAAAAAATTATAAAACTCCACTCTTCACAGTTCAATACATTGCACAAACGATTCAAGGCCTGCTTGACTTAGCACTGGGTAGATCTTTTCTGGTAGCAAAATTTATGCTTGAAAGAAGTCTGCTGTCACAGTCACTAAACTTTAAAGAACCCTAAAATTTCAAATTTCGTGAATGTCTCTTTGTTGCATTCGAATATTTCATAATTTGCTCTGCCATACTGTCGTATAATGACAATAAATCATCAACTTTCGGCAATAATTACTAAAAAAA